TAAAAGGGCTACAGAGATCTCATTAAATTTAATCGTGGCTTTCTCGTATGTAAGAGTAGTCAACAAATGTTCAAAGGAAAGAGATAGTGAACATAGCAAGATCATTGCATTGTCTTCATCTTCAAAATTAACATCAAGTCTGGCCAAATATGAGATTATCTAACTGGAGACATTAATATGATGCATCAAATCTGAACCCTTCTACATCTTTAAGCCCATAAAGCCTTTGCTTTAGATACAGTTTGTTGGTCATAGATTTTCCCATGAAGTGAGTCTCCAATTTATCCCAAATTTCTTTTGGAGTTTCCAAGGTTATAACGTGATATACGACTTCATCGCCAAGCCCATAACCAAATGGTTCTTGCTGTGGCTAAAATAGGCTTCTTGCTGGTGAGACACTAAGCTTAAAAGAGAATAATCATAAAATTTAGCCAGCATTCTTCTGTTTTATGTTTGTAGGGGATGCATAATGCAACATTTTATTCTTGTACAAATTCCATCCTCCACCATACCCATTCACCAGAAACGGGAGAGAAAGAGATGGACTCGCCGGAGAAGAAGAAAAGAGGCGTGAAACGTTCAAAATACTCTCATTATTTTAACTATTAAAATTTTCTGACGAAATTTGGTCGGAGTGACTAAAATTGACAAAAATTGCATAGTTAAGGTACAAAATTGACACTTTTGAAAGTCAAGGACTGAAATTAACAAGACCCCTACAGTCCTATGACCAAAATTGAAATTTCCTGGAAAGAGTGATAGAATGTGAGTCCTAATTAACCAAAGTTTTTTTTTTTTTTTTAAAGAAATTTAAAACAATAATAAATTTTAACAAAGTTGTAACTAAATGACTGAAAATACCACTAAAAGCGGTGACCCCTATATTTCAAAGACTAAACTTGTTATTACTATTTGTGTATGCTTCATATGTTACTAAAATATGACATGTATTGAAACGTAAGGTAACGAAACGAAGTGGAATGGAACAATATAATAACACACACACACACACACACACACACACACACACACATATATATATATATATATATATATATATATATATATAGAAGAGCGCTCATATGCGGCGGGGTCTTACCGTGCGGCGGGGCGGTGCAGCGAAATTCCAGAATACACCAACGGTGTTAACAATATGCACCAACAGTGTAATAAAAACACACCACAATGAAATGCAATAAAACATCACAAAATACACAACAAACTCAAAAAAAAATACACCATATAACTCACCACCCCCAATGGTGTATTTCCGAACAGTGTATGGTGTTTTTACTCACACCTAATGGTGTGTGTTTTGTGATGCAGGGCTCTGTTTACTCTGCTTTGTGTGGTGTATTTTCATAACGTTGATGGTGCATATTTGTTGAACTATTGGTGTTGCCGCACCGTAAGAAATCACCGCACCGTAAGACACTGCCGCACCTGAACTCGCCTATATATATATATATATATATATATATATATATATATATATATATATATATGTGGTTCGAACTTGAGTTGGGTCCGTTAAGTGGGCCGGGTAAGTCTCCCACCATTGATATAACCTTATAAATGTCTGTGATAAAGTCCTCACTTATATAAACATGTCTACGATGCTGACATTTTACATGTTACAAGCTCAAAACTGTAAATGTTCACTTCAGAGTGGGGACTAAAATTGCATTTTCCCTAGCATATTTGGTTCGATCATTGAATAAAATTCAAAATCCACAAGCTAATGGGACAGAGAGCTGCTTAAACACTAGTGTAAAAAAAGGGTATCACATACATTATTATGATAACAAAGAGGATTTAATTAGTAGGATACATGCATAGCAAAACCACCATTAAAGCAAGCAAACAGGCAATTAACAGAATTGAAATTTCACTCAAATGCCCAAGCATTCTCCCTACGGACCTCTTCTTCTTCCTCTGGTGTGAAGGCATTTTTGAGTTTGAAAAATTTGCTGATCTCCTCTGGTGTCTTCCCCTTGATCATATCAGCAACAATTAGACAGGTAAGATCAAGCAAGCTCTTGATATTAAGGAAATTAGCAGCCAGGATGAGATCAAACAGCGTTTCCTGGTCAACTTTGACGAAATTAGCATCGAAGGCCTTGAGATCGTCGGAATCAATGGCCCCCTTGGCGGCGGCCTCGACGTGGCGTTTGCAGTAGTCTATAACCATGCCCAAAATCTTGCTAGTTACCTCGGGGACGGGGATGGTGATGGTAGTGTCGTCGTTATCCACGATCATGTACTTGAGCATCTGCGACTCGAGCGCCACCGCCTCCTCTACCTCGAAGATCTCCCCGTCGGAACTCTTCAAAATGATCGTCTTTGAGGAAGACATCGGAATTTCGTAAGATGAAATTTGGGGGAAAACCCAAGGGAATGTAAAGCAAAAAGACGATACAATCTATTATTCTCTTCTCTTGATTTGGTGAATTGAGTTTCTTCAGAGGACTGAGTCAAGACTCAAGACCTTGACACGCCTAATATGACAACTTTTTAGAGCATCCACATTAGTTGGGAAGAATGTGTGGATAATGTAAGAGTGATTAGGAAAGAGAAGGTGGGAGGGGAGAGAAAAAAATATATAAAATAAAACAAAACAGAATAAAAAAAAATTTTTTAAAAAATAAAAAAAGTTAAGTCAGGCGCGCCTGACGCGCCACCTGGCGCGTGCACTACACGCGCCAGCTTATGGCCACGCTGTGCGCGAAACGTGCACAACGTTTCTTTCTTTAACTTTTTCTTTTCCTTTATTTTCTGACATTATTTTGTAATTTGCAGGATGATTATTTCATCTAATAACTCCATCCCACACTAGTGAATAACTCAATCCAAGTGATTTCTTCTGAAATAACTCCACAATCTCCCCTTAGTGCGAATGCTCTTAAGAGGAGAGGACGATGTGTCCAAAGATCATTGGTGGTTAAAAAACAAAAGAGTTTTAGAGCGGTGGAGGGTTATTTTGTGATTTTTGAGGAGTTTTTGTAAATGTGATTAGGAAAGATAATAAAAAAGAGAAAAAAAATTGATTAAAAAAAAGAGTATGTTAGCACGCCTGACGCGCCCAACGATCGCGTGCAGTGTACGCGCCCGCTGAGGCACTTGTGACCTTCACGCATAGCGTGAGAGGCTGGGAGCTTTTTTTCGTGGGGCCCATATTTCTGCAAATAACTCCACTCTTGCATAAGGTTGATTGTTTAACCAAGTCAAACAATTAATAGTGGTCAAATAAACTAATATTGACTGATAAGCTAACTATTTTACGAAACAGGGTCAAAATGAAGAGACTAAACTGGATTTATTTGCAATGTACAATAATAACTTGTCTACTACTACAATGATAATGACAAGTGATATTGTTGTGGAACCTTGTACATATGTCACAGATTTTGTTTTGTATTATGTAAACTATAAAGCATTCATTTTTTTTGTCAGACCATAAGGTGTCCTAAGCATGTTCTAACTGGGCAAAGCGCTAGCCAGATTGTTTTTCCATACAAGAAGGGTTCGAATTCCCGACTTCTCTTAAGGGATGACCACTCACGGCAACCAAACTGGTTAAAACATCAATTTTATTACCAAATAGTTGATACGGCTTCCATTTGGGGGGGGGGGGGGCGGGGGTGGTGTATGGTGGAGGATGAAATTTGTACAAGAATAAAATGATGCATTATGCATCCCCTACAAGCATAAAACAGAAGAATGATAACAGCTGCTAAATTTTATGATTATTCTCTTTTAAACTTAGTGTCTCACCAGCCAGAAGCCTATTTTAGCCATGTCTCTTCTTTTTTCCCTTTGTTTTATATGAGATGAAATAGTTTTGTAAGGAAAAATACTTTGAAGTATCGAATAGTCGAGTTTCATTTATCCTAATATGGCAAAAATTTTGTGAAGATTTATAATTTATCTATTGTGTTTCATTTCTCTTCCTCCTTCAAAATCATACTCAAAATTCACAACTTAATGACCATAAATTCATATCATTAAATCCCAATTACACCAAATTTTACTAGTGAGATGAATTGTTATGTATTTTTAGCACTACATTGTGAAGTTCAAGTGCACTTTGGGGAGAGGAAGAGTAATAGAAGGTGAGTCCTAATTAACCAGAGTTTTTAAAAAAGAAAATTAAAAACAATAATAAATTTTAACAGAGTTGTAATGAAAGGACTGAAAACATCACTAAAAACAGTGATGCCCGCATAAATTTTAACAGGGCGTTTGGTTGAAAGGAAGGAATCAGGAAGGAAAGTAATTGTAATTTGGTGGAAAAGAATAAGGTGAGAATAAAGTAGGAATTCAAATTACATTATTTGGTAATAAGAAATAAAATTATTGGAATTGAAAAGGAAATAAGTGGTATAAAGACTAAAATACCCTTATGTAATAATAATAGTAATAACAACCAAGGGTAGTAATGTCATTTAATGTGTTTTTCCTTTCTCAAATTCATTGAATTGCAATTCAGGGGTACCCCATGAATTGCAATTCAACAAAAGGAGGGGATTGCAACTGTGGAATTGCAATTCCCTCCAACCAAACAATGTAATTGAGGCATCAACTGAATTGCAATTCAACTACAGCTAAATTACAGAACCAAACGCCCTGTACATTTGTTACTAATATTTGTGTATGTCTCATATGTTACTAGAATATGACATGTATTGTAGCGTAACGTAATGAAACAAAGTGGAATGGAGCAATAACACCTATCTATGTGGTTCGAACTTGAGTAGGGTCCGTGGGTGGGGGGTAAGTCTCCCACCATTGATATAACCTTATAAACGTCAAGTCCTCACTTATATAGAAATATCTACAATAATAATTGACACTAGTGACTCAAAGTCAAGTGTGAGGACTTTTAACGTGTTATAATTGAAGACTAAAATTACATTTTTCCATAGCATATTTGGTTAGATCATGGAATAAAATTCAAAATCCACAAGCTAATGGGACAAAGATCAGAGCTGCTTAAACACTAGTGTAAAAAAAGGGTATCACATACATTATTATGATAACAAAGAGGATTTAATTAGTAGGATACATGCATATCAAACCACCATTAAAGCAAGCAAACAGGCAATTAACAGAATTGAAATTTCACTCAAATGCCCAAGCATTCTCCCTACGGATCTCTTCTTCTTCCTCTGGTGCGAAGGCAGTTTGCATATTGAAAATTTGTCTGATCTCCTCTGGTGTCTTCCCCTTGGTTATTTCAGCAATAGTTTGACAGGTAAGATCAAGCAAGCTCTTGATGTCGAGGAAATTAGCAGCCAGGAGGAGATCAAACAACGTTTTATGGTCAAATTTGATGAAATTAGCATCGAAGGCCTTGAGATCGTTGGAATCAATGGTCCCCTTGGCGGCGGCCTCGACGTGGCATTTGCAATAGTCTATAACTATGCCTAAGATCTTGCTAGTTACATTAGGGACGGGGATGGTGATAGTGGTGTCATCGTTGTCCACAATCATGTACTTGAGCGTCTGCGACTCAAGCGCCACCGCCTCCTCCACCTGGAAGGTCTCCCCGTCGGAACTCTTCAAAATGATCGTCTTCGAGGAAGACATCGGAACTTGGTAGGATGAAATTTGGGGAAAAACCAAAGGGAATGTAACAAAGCAAAAACAGCGAAGAAATATATTATTCTCTTCTATTGTGATGTGTGAATTGGGTTTCTATAGAAGACTGAGTCAAGTCCATGAGGACCATGACACCCCTAATCTAACAACTTTCAAGGGATAGTTATGCTATAGAAACGTGTTCACCATGCTTATGGTGAACACATGAGTAGATCCATAATTTCTAAATTGTATATTCATAATTTTTTTTTAAACTTAGATTCATAATTTTGTTTTTCATTTGTTGTTAACGGAATAAATTCATAATTTTTAAGCTTTAGATTCATAATTTCTATACTGTAGATCATAACATTTATACTGTAGATTCATAATTTTTATACTGTAGATTCATAATTTATGTACTGTTGATTTATAATTTCTATACTGTAGATTCATAATTTCTATAATGTAGATTCATAATTTCTATATTGTATATTTATAATTTCTATATTGTAGATTTATAATTTCTATACTGTAGATTCATAATTTCTATACTGTAGATTCATAATTTATGTACTGTAGTTCATAATATCTGTAACAACAAATGAAAAAAAAAAATTCGGAATCTACGTTTTCAAAAAAAAAAAAAAAAATTATGAATCTACAGTACAGAAATTATGGATCTACCCATGTGCATGATGAACACGTTTCAACAGCATAATTTGTCAGACCATGATGTGTCCTGAGCATGCTCTAACTATAGGAGGCACCTTTAAACCCAAGGACGGAGCCAGAAATTCGGTTGAGGGGGCGAAGAAGTAGGGAAGGATTCATAAAATTTTTCCAGTAAAGGCGAAACATTAAAACAAAATAGATAATTTTTTTAAAAAAAATTACCTAAGAAATATAGTTGTAAATATTGTTGGATATGAACAAAAAATAAAACACATCAAAACTTTATAAAAATATTAATAACAAAATATGAAACCTAATTAATTTGATAAAATAATTTGAATAGAAAACACAATATAAATTACACATCTCATTATTAATATAAAAGAATGTTATATATATATATATATATATATATATATATATATATATATATGTGTGTGTGTGTGTGTGTGTGTGTGTGTGTGTGTGTGTGTGTGTGTGTCTGTGTGTGTGTTAAATATTAAAAAGGTGCCTGTGTTGAAGTCATAGGACAATGTACAATAGTTTTTCTACTACTACAATGATAATGACAAGTGATATTCTTGTGGAACCTTGTACATGTGTCACATATTATGTTTTGTACAAGAATAAAATGCTGCATTATGCATCCCCTACAAGCATAAAACAGAAGAATGATAACAGCTGCTAAATTTTATGATTATTCTCTTTTAAGCTTAGTGTCTCACCAGCCAGAAGCCTATTTTAGCCATGTCTTTTTTTTTTTTCCCCTTTGTTTTATATGGGATGAAATAGTTTTATAAGGAATAATACTTTGAAGTATCGAATAATCGAGTTTCATTTATTCTCTCATATGGCAAAAAATTTGTGAAGATTTATAATTTATCTATTGTGTTTCATTTCTCTTCCTCCTTCAAAATCATACTCAAAATTCACAACTTAATGACCATAACATTATTGTTATGCATTTTTAGCACTACATTGTGAAGTTCTAGTGCAATTTGAGGAGAGAAAGAGTAATAGAAGGTGCGTCCTAATTAACCAGAGTTAAAAAAAAAAAAAAAAAAAAAAAAAAAAACAATAATAAATTTTAATAGAGTTGTAATGAAAGGACGGAAAACATCACCAAAAACAGTGACGCATATAATTCAAAGACTAAACTTGTTACTACTATTTATGTATGTCTCATATATTACTAGAATATGATATGTATTGGAGCGTAACGTAATGAAACGAAGTGGAATAGAGCAATAGCACCTATGTATATATGTGGTTCGAACCTGAGTTCGGTTCGTTAAGTGGGTCGGGGGTAAGTCTCCCACCATTGATATAACCTTATAAACGTTAAGTCCTCACTTATTTAGAAATATCTACAATGATAATTGACACTAGTGACTCAAATTAAAGTTAGGGGTGTAAATGAGCCAAGCCGCTCGCGAGCGGCTCGGTCAAAGCTGGTTCGAGCTCGGCCAAAATCGAGCTTGAGCCGAACTCGAGCGGCTCGTTTACTTATCGAGCTCGAGTTGAGCTCACATATTCTATGCCCGTGGCTCGACGAACCTTAATAATAATAATAATAATAATAATAATAATAATAATAATAATAATAATAATAATAATAATAACAATAGTAACAATAGTAACAATAGTAAAATAGTAACAATAGTAACAATAGTAACAATAGTAATAATAGTAATAATAATAATAATAATAATAATAATAATAATAATAATAATAATAATAATAATAATAATAATAATAATAATAATAATAATAATAATAATAATAATAATAATAATAATAATAATTAAAATGTTACTCCCTTCTAATTCTTACCCTACTCTAGTACTCTCTCAGTCCAACACTTCTGCCCTCATTACCCCCCAAGCCCTAACTCTGGAGTCTGGAAGACTGTCGATGACGACGAACAGAGACGAGATACGGAGACACCAGAAGACTGCCGGCCGACGACGACAACCCTTGTCTCCAGTCTCCACCTTTTCCGATGACGAATTGATGAAGCTGTTGCAGTGTTGTCCGATAGTCGACTAGTCGAGACCGGACGAAGCTACGCGAATCCCCGTCGAGCTTGAACTCGAGCTCAAAATCGAGCTCGAACTCTAGCTTAAGATCGAGCTCGAGCTCGAACAATCGAGCTGCTCGCGCCGAGCTCGAGCTGTTCAAAAATTGTCGAGCTCGAGCATCAATTGTCAAGCTCGAGCCAAGCCTTCCTTAACGAGCTTGAGCTCGAGCCAACCCAAGCTCGAACTCGGCTCAACTCGTTTAGACTCCTACTCAAAGTCAAGTGTGAGGACAATGCTGACTTTTAACGTGTTACAATTGAAGACTAAAATTGCATATTTCCCTAACATATTTGGTTAGATCATGGATAAAATTCAAAATCCACAAGCTAATGGGACAGAGAGCTGCTTTAACACTTGTGTAAAAAAAGGGTATCACATACATTATTATAATAACAAAGAGGATTTAATTAGTAGGATACATGCATAGCAAACCACCATTAAAGCAAGCAAACAGGCAATTAACAGAACTGAAATTTCACTCATATGCCCAAGCATTCTCCCTACGGATCTCTTCTTCTTCCTCTGGTGTGAAGGCAGTTTGGATATTGAAAATTTTGCTGATCTCCTCTGGTGTCTTCCCCTTGATCATATCAGCAACAGTTTGACAGGTAAGATCAAGCAAACTATTGATGTTGAGGAAATTAGCAGCTAGAACAAGATCAAACAACGTTTTGTGGTCAACTTTGATGAAATTAGCATCGAAGGCCTTGAGATCGTCGGAATCAATGGTCCCCTTCGCGGCCTCAACGTGGCATTTGCAGTAGTCTATAACCATGCCTAAGATCTTGCTAGTTACATTAGGGACGGGGATGGTGATGGTGGTGTCATCGTTGTCCACAATCATGTACTTGAGCATTTGTGACTTGAGCGCCACCGCCTCCTCCACCTCGAAGATCTCTCCGTCTGAACTCTTCAAAATGATCGTCTTTGAGGAAGACATCGGAACTTCGTAGGGTGAAATTTGGGGAAAAACCAAAGGGAATATAACAAAGCAAAAACAGCGAAGAAATCTATATATATATATATTTTTTTTGAAGGGAACCAAGAAATCTATTATTCTCTTCTTTGTCGATGTGTGAAATCTATTGGGTTTCTAAAGACGACTGAGTCAAGTCCATGAGGACACGCCAAATCTAACAACTTTTGAAGAGGGGAGGACAATGTGCCCAAATTTCATTGGTGGTTAAAAAAAGATTTCTAGTACATGTTGTCTTTATTTTTACTCCTGATGTACTCCATTCGCCCCATTTTATGTGTCTGATTTGATTAATTACTCAAATTATGTTGTGGAAACGTGTTCACCATGCGCATGGTGAACACAGTTGTACATTCATAATTTCTATGTTGTAGATTCATAATTTTATTTTTCATTTGTTGTTAACGACGTTTCTCTCTTCGCAATTGCATTATTTCGTCTTCGCAATACAGATATTATGAATCTATAGTATAGAAATTATGAATCTACAGTATAGATGTTATGAATCTACAGTATAGAAATTATGAATCTACAGCTTAAAAATTATGGATCTATCCCGTGTTCACAAATTATGAATCTACAGTATAGAAATTATGAATCTACAGTATAGATGTGATGAATCTACAATATAGAAATTATGAATCTACAGTTTAGAAATTATGGATCTATCCCGTGTTCACCATGCGCATGGTGAACACGGTTCTATAGCATAACTACTCGGTTAATTAATGAGACTTGACTGAAGTTATTTTTAATTCAATTAAACTGGTTGAAATCAAAAAAATAACAAAAGAAAATATAAAAAGACAAAAATGCCCTTGCTAAAAAAATTATGAAAAAGACTAAAGTGTCCAAAAATAACAACACCCTAAGATGTTAAATGACGAAAACAATAGTCTGAGACTAAATTTGAAATTACACCAAAAACAAAGAACCTTTGATAGAATTAACTCTAAATTTTAAGTTAAAATGATCATCCACTAATCTTGCTGTTAACTAGTCGTAAAATTAGAGGACAATTTGAGAAAATCATTCAGCGTATCCAATTTCTTCTTCCTCTCCAACCAATCACCATTCAATGCATTCTTTCTTCAATCAACATATCTCACTAGTGTTAATTATCGTTGTAGATATTTCTATATAAGTGAGGACTTGACGTTTATAATATTTGACTGAAAGTTAAAAAATAATATTTTTTTGGCTAAAAATTAACAAATTGTAATTTTTTTAATATTTGGTTATTTTAAAAAGTATGAACATAAATCTATTACAAAGTTATTCCTTATAAAATAATAAGTTAATTAGCAGAGAAAATTTTGGAGAAATTAAGGGGGTGTGGATTGCTCATATTCTGCTCCTTCCCCTCTGGAGGTTTATATGAGGAGGGTGTGACTGAATTTTATCTCAACGCAACTGCTCAAGGCGCAATGATTATT